GTGTAAGGATAAACTATGGGCTTAGTCATAACCCAGCTTTTTTTTTTTTTTTTTTTTTTTGCTTTGGTGGAGGAGGAAAAGCAGAGTATATCAGTGCCCTAGAACCAACCCTCCTTTCCTCCCCTACAATCTCTACAGATGCATGGATTCACCACCTCTCTCGTGGGATGGAAGGCCAAATCTCTTCATTCTTTGTAGAGTCTTTTCCTTCTGTGTCATTATTCTCTCTCATCTCACTGACCCTCTCTGATCCCCTTTCCCTTTTTAATAGATGACCTCATATCAAGCTGCCTCTCCCTTTTTTGTGACTCCATGACCTCTCACTCTGGACCCATAGTTTTGGGTGACTTGGAATCCTCTCAATTCCATATTTTAGGGGTCTTGGTCAATGGGTCTAGGATGCTCTACATATCTCCACTCTGTGCCAGTGCTAGAGGACTGAGCATCACTCAGAGCTCTTCCCACCAGCACAGAGCTCTGCTGAAGTCTGCGGCTACCACGCATACATATACAACTCCCCTGTTGTCATTGCCCAGACATTATCTAAGATCCAGATCTTTGTCTCCAGCTGTCTGCTAGACATGACCACCTCCATGTCCTTCAAGGATCTCAAATATAACATGCCCGTCTCTCCTACTCATGACTGTGCTCTGACCCTTTACACATGAAAACATTGGTTCTCTGCATATTATGTTTGTGAACCACCATCTACACAGATGCCCAAGTCAGAAACTTGGGCAATATTCCAGACACTTCTCTTTCTACTGTGAGTAGTAGAAAGTACATGTCAGTACATGTAAACTCTACAGGTTCTACTTCTTTAGTATCTCCCAATTCAGAAATTTGATGAGGTTCTACCATGGAGGTTTTAATGACACCCCCTCTGATTCCAACAGGATAAAAATCTAAATTCCTGCACCGAACAGGTCAGGCCCTTCACAATCTAACACTTGCTCACTGATAAATAATAATCTTTTATCACATCTGGTCTCCTCCTCTACAGACAATTTACTTTCTACCCACCAGTATTATTTATTTAGATATATTTTCCAGAACATGCCACATTTTTATCTTTTCTGACTTTTACTTAACTGTTCCCTCAGATTTACAATATTCTCCTCTAATTTGTCTGCCTATTTGGTGAAATGTCCCCTGGCTCTGACACCTGGAATGTTTTTTTCTCTGCTCTCCTGAAACTTATTTCTCATCTCCATCTTAACAATAGTTCTAAGGTGTTATAATTGGCTGCTTGATAGCCAAGCATAGGTCATATTCTCTCATGTATCCCTAGCATATACAGTGTCTGCTAAGCAGCTGATAGTTCAATACTTTTTGAAAGGAATGAACACATGGCGGGTATGTTGCTATGTTTCTCATCATGCTTGCAGTTAATGTATAGAGAGATCAGGGGTCACAGCATGAGTTCTTCATGTCATTTTTTTACTGAATATTTTCTATTTGGATTCTGTCCAAGAAAAGAAAGATCAAGAGAGTTGTGAATTCAGTATAGAAATCACGAAGATGTTGCCCTGGGGGACAGAGGAATGGAGCGTCTCAGTGGGTATTAATAGTTTTCATGATCCATCTTGCATAGTGATGAACTTCTGTGAAGAACCCTTCACTTCCCAGGGTGACACTTCCTTTGTCCCAGGACAAGATTCCATGCAGCCTCCCATTGCAGATGGCTGGAGCAGCTGAGACTTCCTGCCAGAGAGAGGGAACAGGAGGTCAACGTTGCTTTGTCCTCATGGAAAAAGAATAAATCCCAAGACGTGGCATACTATAGTCTCAGAGGCATCTAAAGGACTAGACTCATTTTTCTTGAAAGGTAACAACCCTGTCTTCACATCCACCTAGATCTCACCTCTCTTGGTTCAAGCTTGAGCCCAACCTGAATGCAAACAGGAAGAGAAAGGACAAATAGTTCTACCCAGAACTGTAAAATGAAGGAACGGGAATTAATGACCAACCCAAAGACCTGGAGGGAGAAGAGAGGGACTCCAGGCCTTTTGGATGAGCACCATTTGATTTTTCCACAATCACCTCTCCTCTTCATGGACCCCTTCTATCTATCTGAAGAAAGGAAAGATACCTTGGTTTTAGATATGATGTTTAGAGGTTGTCCCACACACATGATGTGCACTGCCATTCTCTGTCCTGCCATATTCCTGCAGTCATCGAAGGGATGAGAAGGTTGGTTTATCCAAGTCAGGATGTCAGGGTCACTAACTGTGGGGGAAAAAAGACAAACGAAGTCCACAGTTAATCTGCTTGTCACACATACTCCTGTGATGGCTCCCTACTTTGTAAACACATTCCATCCTATTTGGGATTCTCATTCAGTATCTACATTGGAGCAGCAGATTCAGAACATGACGTTCTTACATCAGACATCAGATCTGTCATTCTCCCTCTCCTCTGACTAATTTGGAAACCTTTGAAAACCTGCCAGAAGATTATAAATGGCCATGAAAACAGACAGACACAAAGCCATTGTCCCTAAGAAGCCTTTATATTTGGCACCTACTTCAACTTCTTTACATTTAAACATTTTTTTTAAAGATTTTATTTATTTATTTGAAAGAGAGAGAAAGAGAGCACAAATGGGGTGAGGGTCAGATGGAGAAGCAGGCTCCTTGCTGAGCAGGGAGCCCAATGTGGGAGTTGAACCTGGGACTCCAGGATCATGACCTGAGCCAAAGGCAGATGCTTAAGGACTGAGCCACCCAGGCGCCCAACTTCTTTACACTTAATCATAAAGGGAGAAAACTATTTTTAGTGTGTCCAAAGCTGCTTTTTTAACGAAATAGACTGTTTATAAATGGATTATTTATAAGTGTGTGTATGTGTATGCATAACTATACATATATATCTCCCCCAAAGAAGTCAGAGTGCTCGTCTCCCTTGTTGCAATTGTTACTCTACTGTTGTTTTTTTTTTTTTTTTTAAGATTTTATTTATTTGACAGAGAGAGACACAGCGAGAGAGGGAACACAAGCAGGGGAAGTGGGAGAGGAAGAAGCAGGCTCTCCGCCGAGCAGGGAGCCCGATGCGGGGCTCGATCCCAGGACCCTGGATCATGACCTGAGCCGAAGGCAGACGCTTAACGACTGAGCCACCCAGGCGCCCCTGTTACTCTACTGTTAACCTCAGAATGCAAGGATTCTAACCAAGGTATGTATGATATAATTCTAATCTCTGGTGGGGAGTGACAAGGAGGAAGGAAACAAAAAACTGATTAGAGATTGTTCAAACTAACCCTAAGTGTTACTTACAGAGCAGGATTTTTCTGATAGTGTATCCAACCTAATGTCCTAAAACAGAAAGTGTCAAGTCAGAAAAGATAGAGGGGAATTATGTTCAGTTTTAAGTTTTTATGGGAGTTGAAATGTGTAGAATAAGGAGGTGAAAGTAACTAAGCACTTGAAATAATGAATTCCTAATATCCAAACCCTTGCACCAAAGAGTTTACAGAATTAGTTTGTCACTATGATTCTGACATGCAGAACCCATGTGACAAAACCTTTGTATGATTTTATTTTGTTTTCAAACAGTATGTAATAAATTACTTTTGCAATTACTTTGAATAAGACTTGAAAGTCAAGGGTAAAAATCATAAACTTTGATTTGTTCAGAAAATATATTCACTTAGATTCCCAGAAATGTTGCTTCTGAATTAAAAATGAAGTTGCCAAGTCCTGAGAATATAAAAGTTTCCACTTTGTATTGTTTTTATGGGACAGATGGATTGTTCTGTGGCCATCAGTACAGGGTTTAAACCTGATTGATGTCATGACAATTGCCTCAGTGAACACAGCTTCATCAAGACAATCAATGTCACTTTTTAAAGTCAGCCAATCAGACCCCCTGCAATAAACATGCCTCAACGTGCCAAGCAATAAACAACAACCATGTCCCTATAGATATCAACTCCCTTAAGCCTCTGAAAGTCTTCCAATCTCTGTACCAAAAGCTTCCCCCAACCCCCATCTAGGCCCAGTACTCTGCTCTGCTCAGTAAGACTGGTATCTGCTCAGGTTTTTTCTTCCTTATTATAATCATTAATAAATTTAGCTTTATCATTTCATTTCAGATATTGAGTGGTTGCCCCATCATCCTTTGACAATCCCTAAAGAGAGTATGATGGTTTATTAGCAGCCACATGAAGTAAAGACCCACCAACAACCAACAAATGAGTAAGAAAGCAACTTTCTTCATGAAGTGCCCTTGGTAAAACATGCTCAGAGTAAGTAGACCAGACATTCTCTGCCCATGCAAATAGAGCTCAGAGGCTGGAGGCATGCGTGCCTGCAACAGGGTCTGTGGCAATTTTTCTCAGAGGTCATTCAGGCCAGAGAGACACCAACAGTATGTCATAATCAACCCCCCTGTGCATGCCCTGGTGTCCACCTCTGAGGGGAAACTCAGGTGAAGCAGTAGGTGTAAGAGTTGCACTCTCGGGTGGAAAGAGCTCCCTCAGCTACACTCATCTCTCAGGGTCCACTTGAGTGAATCACCATCAACATAGGTTGGGTTGTCTGTGGCAGGGGATGGGAAGTATCCTCTGTCACCTCACCATATGTTCTGTTTTTGTTTTTCCCGTTGCTGTTGGGTGAATTACTTGGTGGACTTTTAGCAGCTGTCAATGAGATAGTAGCCAGCCTCCCACAGGATGCCTTGATACTGTTTTTAGAGTGAGGACTCTTAGTTCCTCCACCATTATCTGAATTCAGTTCCCTGGACTCTGGTCTTGAATATTCTAGAGATAGGAGAGGTGCTGCCTGGTCCATTCATTGGTGTCAGATTGGCTGCTCTGTATCAGTCTCTGAATGGTATCCCTTGGCTTCCAATCTTGGTAGGATAAGGTCCTGGCAATAATCACTGTAGGTTCAAGAACATTACCTCATGGCAGCCATTCCCTTCAAGTATATCCCTCCATATTTTTTCCCCAGCTCCAAAACCTCCTCAGGATGAAGAACACAGAGTCAAACACTTACGGTTTTTGTATTCATTCCAAGTCCAGGTTGGGATAAAGCAGGAATCATTAAGTGCTAAGGGCTCCATAGATATGGCTATGGTCCCCACATGGGAGTTGAGTACAGCAGCCTTGGAGAGTTTTATCAGCATCAGGTCATTCTCCAGTGACTGTGCCTTGAACTCAGGGGCGGGGATAATCTGTGAGTAATTCCGTATCTGCTCTTTCTTATTTCTGACGCTGGGTTGATAGACTCCCAGTCGGATTTTGACACTTTGGAAGAAAGAGAGCAGGGAGGTGGGAAAGAGCAGGTCACAGGATGTCAGAATGGCAACAAAGGTCAGAAGTGACCTCCCCAATCATCTTCATTTTCTCTCTCATACCTGAGAACTGAAGTGACCTGCTTTGGTTGGACAGATTGTACCAGTAGTTTATGGGCTTGTTGTATTAGGGTCTAGGGTTGGTATATATATAAAATCTGACATGTATCTGCCACCTAGAGTACACTGGTACAGTCTAGTTTTATTATTGTTACTAAGAATTGGAAAATCTAAACAGGCAGATAATAGAGATGTGCCTACACCACGTTGTCTCAAGCAGCGCTTGAGCAAGTGTATCATACCCTTCATTTCTGGATATTCTTAGGTCTCTCCTAGCTCCTTTTGAGCCCATGTCACTATATTTACAGTGTGGTGCCTTCTTTGTCATTGATCCCCAAGGCTCTTAGCCTATCAGGACTCCCATTATGATTTTCTATTATATTTCCTGGACACATTCAAACACACCCACTCCATCACCAGGAGTCCAGTCATGCCACAGATACAAGCACCATTTCCTACCAAAAACAGTTCATGCACTAGATCTGGCTGAGAAAAGAACATCAAGTTTTCCAACTCCCATTCTTGGAGGGGACGAACTATCTTTCCTTTGTATGTCTTATCATGTGCAGAGCAGGGGGTCCATCTGTGCTTGAATAAATTGTCTTTAATGACCAAGTGGCTGAGAGCTCTGAGTTTGAAATGAGCCTTGTAGACTCCTAAAACTGTGACTAGGTCCCAGTCACACAGCACATTCTCATGCAATCACAGCAGGGATGCAGATTTCTGAGGGAGAACAGGATTTTGTGCAGTGTTCCCTTGTCCTTCTCCTGATCCCTGCATCCTATGGCTTCTGCCTGACTCTTCCCCTCACCCTGTGGGCATTCCCCTATTCGCTACAGTCCACACTGGTCTTCGACTTGGCCTAATACCTTCACTACTTCAGGGACTCTATGTACCCTGTCCCCTCTGCCTGGAATGTTCCCCAGGCTTTATGCTTTCAGCTGCCTCCTCCTCTTCCTGTTGGTCTCATCTCTTGAGAGCGGCCTGACATGACCACCCTAACTAAAGCAGATCTCTGGTTTCATTCCCGTATATTACAGTTTGCCACTCTTTTGGTGTTTTATTTTTGGGTGTTTATTTGTTTTGGCTTATGTCCTCTACCAGAATGTAAGGTTCAGGAGAGAAAATTTATTTCCATCTTGTTCCCTTGCTCTTTTCTCAGTGCATTAAACAGTTCCTAGCACATAGTAAATGCTCAATAATATGTTGAATGAATGAATATTATTTCTTCTCCATGAAAGTCTCCTGACACCTTCCTATCGATTTCCTCTTAAACCGCCCAAATTGGTATTATTTTCCCTATTGGGAAGGAGATCCTCTCTCTTCCCTGGTCTTCTAGTTCCCTTAGGATGTAATTAAGACTTGCTGGGATGCCCCACCAGACCTGCTTTTGTTTAAACAGATCCCTCCCAGCTCCCAGGAACAAAGGGATACTTACGGTAAGGGGCAGTGGGCAGCCGTCAGTACCCATTGAGGGTGAATGAGAGATCCCACACAGGGTTCTGAACTGGACTGCAGATAGACCATGTAAGGAATAGTAAAATCTTCTGGTAAGTTCAGGTCATCATCTTTAGAATCTCTGGCCAGAACAACTCCTAAAGAATTGATGGGGTCACAGGTGGAAAGAGAGTCAAACAGGATGAGAGGCAATAGTTGGCTAGGGTAGTTTTTTCTGACCTAAGTTTTTTAAAGATAATACCAGGGACTTCAAATTATTTTAAACGTCTTTTTAAAAATCCGAGGGAACATGTCACCGATGGTATATATGTTAGGGACATTGACACATGTCTTTGCCTGAGATGGAAATATATTAAAATTCTGTGTAACTAAGTCATGAGCTGATCAGAAACCCTGATTGGCAGTGTGGTATATTACAAAAATGGGGCAGGGGGTGGATAGGGAATTATTCCTTTCAAACCATTATTTTTTTTCCAAAACATTATTTTTAATTAATTTTGCCAACTAAGCATGGAAGTCATAATTACATACCACCTGACTTTGGCAGTGAGAGGGATGGAAAGTCTTGGGGCAGGGCCGGAGGCTTCTAGTGCAAACAGCCTACCTGCCTTCCCTACCTACTCCTCTGGGTCCACCTGCCCAGACAGAGGGCAACATTGCTGGGCAGGAAAAGTGGCAGTCTAAAGAATCACACACTCAAGTCTCTGTAGAGCACTACAGTGACTTATCCCACCATGCCCTCAGGCCTCAGAGGGACTGTGAGTGTACCCTGATGGGATAAGTCAGCAGAGGGAGTGGTTCCCTTTGTTTCCTTCAACAGTGAATTGAAGGAAATGCCCACCCCTTCCTGTCTCTTCAGTTGTGGCTGCCTGCTTCCCCTTCTGACCACCCCACCCTCCCCTGCACCACCCTATCCCTCTCCAGGAGGCCAAGGCCAGCTGCTCACCAGCTATGCTTAGGAGAGTTAAGATGAGACAGGGCTTCATGGCAGCCAGCAATCTTGCCAGGAGCACACTAGTTGGATCAAGCTGTAAACAGTCCCAGTCTTTAGTCCAAGTGCCCTTGGCCAGGACAGCTGGACAGAAGCTTTAACTGGGGCTTACAGGGAGAAGCAAGGATCTTATAGCAGTCTTGAGACTAGGGCTGCTCAAAACCCAATTATAGAAGGCCCAGCTGAGTGCTGTCTCTGACGTGGGGTGGAAAAGGAAGGAGCAGACCAGTTCAAGCACCTGATGTCTCTTCTCTGATCCCAAATGTCTCAGGAGTCCTGATGTATCTGCTGACATTTTTCCTCCCTCTCTGTGACATGGCCTTTCTTTGTTGTCCCCTCCTCCCTTTGTGACTGTGTTTCCCCCCACACCCTCATTTGCCATCTCCCTTCTTCTAAAGGGTCCCTCTGCATTCTCAGAGACTCACCAAACATTGAGATATGAAATACATTTAATAAATCATCCCCTGCCCCCCCATTTTCATGATGAGGAAGCTGTGGTCCTCATGGAAGTTATTGGAAAAGGCAGGACTCAGACTGAATCTCTGGATTTCCTCTGCCTTGTTGAACTTTATCTGAGCCTTGTGCTTCCAGAAAACAGTGACTGTTAAAAATCCTTGGAATTTTGTGTTCAAGGAAATGGCTTACCACAAAGAACTACACTTTCATACAGGAGTTGCTAGAGACTTTGTCCACTCTTTCTCGTGGCTCCCATATAACTGGGGATGACTTTCTTGTTTACCTGTGACAAGAACAAACACAGACCTTTCCCCTTTTACTTGCACCTTGCTGAGGTAGCCAGAACACAGCCTCCCAACTCCCCATTCTTTGTCTCATGAATGATTAGCTAAGCTTAGAATTCTTTTTTTCCCCTGAAACTGGCTAGACACAGAGAAAACCCTTTTTGTTCAGCTGATTGAGAAGTCCCCTGACTTCAAAACAATTGGTTTTCTCAACGACACATCTCCCCACCTGTAACCTGTTTCTTTCTCCCTATAGAAGTCTTAAGGCAAAACCATCCTGCTGAGACACTCTGATCTTTGGATCTGGGGTGCTCTTCCTGCAATAGTCTGAATAAAATCAGTCTTCTTACTTGTTCAGTTTTTTCTTTGACTTTTATTACTCTTCAGTGTGCTACACTCCTGTTTATAAGTTAGCCTTACATGACAACTTCTTGACTGCCCACCCACTGCAGAGATATGAAACAAATAGTGGGTTCCATCAGGGATATTGGTCTAAATTTTCATGTAGTGTCCTTCCTTCTCTGGCTTTGGTATCAGGCTCACGTTGGCTTCATACAAGGAGTTCGGAAGTATTCCCTCCTCTTCAGTTTTTTGGAAGAGTCTGAGAGGGATGGGTGTTAATTCTTCTTTAGATGTTTGGTAGAAATTTCCAGTGAGGTTGTCTGGCCCTGGGGTCTTCTGTGTTGGGGGGTTTTGATTACTGAGTCAATCTGTACTCCTCACTGATCTGTTCAGATTTTCTAATTATAAAGTTCTTATGACAGTGAGTTCTAATGCCAAATAGGAAATGCTATGTAAAATGCTTATTAAATGAAATACCTGTGACTTTAGTATCTTCATAATTTCCAGGGTCCTGGGGATGCCTTTCTTCCCCTATGTCTGAAAATTGTTGCAAAGTCCTACATAGTGGTGAAGAGCTTGGACTCTGGAGTCCAGCTTCTAGGATTTGATTTCTGACTGCAAGACTTAACTAGCTATCTATCCTGAAAAAAACAGTTGACGTCTTAAGCTTCATGTAGGGAGGAATATTAGTACCTATTTCATAGGATAGTTGTGAGGATTGAATATTACTTAAAAGCATATAAGAATGGTGTGACACATTGAAAAAGCTTAATAAGTACTGGTTGTGATGATGATGGTAATGATGATGATGATGATGATATTTTTCACCTCTGCAGCAATGAGGAATGAATCCTGAATACTAAGAAGGAATAAACCTTCAATATGTCTCTGGTTCACAGAATTGTGTATTGTGGCTCAGCACTGTCCTGAGGCACACCGCTCCTAAAGTCAGGGATTGGAGATGACTGAACACCATGGGCATCTGGAGCATCAGGTGTCCCCAGTCTAATACAGCTCTCTCCACTAAAATGAATTAGTATCCCCTTTCTTTGTAAATACGTTTCGCTTGTGATACCCAGTGACAAATGTGAGACTCTGAACAGATGTGGGAGGATGAGGGTGGAGCTGGTCAGTAATCCCAGCCTGCCCTATCTGCACTCATTCTCAGCTGGCTTCCTTCTCGGGCATGAATGTGGGTGAAGAGTCTTTTTAAGGTGGTAAGGCTGCTCCTAAGTTTTGTGAAGTAAACAGCCTGGGGATTTCACTAAAAACAAACAATATTTCTGCTCTGTAAAATCTATTACATGTTTATTGAGAACAATATGGGGAAAGAAACAATAGAAATATGAAACAACAATAAAAACTCACTAATTATAACTCCATTTAGCATTGTCCACTATTAGCACATCCAGCATTGCAATGCTTTTTGCTCTGTCCATTCTCTATAATTTTCCCTCAAGTTAATAATTTTTTGACTTTTTCTTAAGTGCAAGCAGTTTTAGGTTCACAACAAAATTGAGAGGAAAGTACAGAGATTTCCCATATACCCTGTGCCCTCACCAGTGCATAGCCTCCCCCATCAGCAACTTCCCCACCAGAATGGTCCATTTGTTACAATGGATGAGCCTACACTGACACACTATTACCCCTCAAAGTCCATAGTTTACCACAGCGTTCACTCTTCTTGCCGTTGTATAGTCCATAGGTTTGGACAAATGTATAATGAATGACATGTATCATTAGAGTATCATATAGAGTATTTTCACTGCCCTAAAAGTCCTCTGGGCTCTGCCTATTCACCCCTTCCCCAACTTCCGGCCCTTGGAAACTACTGGTCTTTTTATTGATGCCATGGTTTTGCCTTTTCTAAAATGTCCTATCTTTCGAATCATATAATATGTAACCTTTTCTGTTTGCTTCTGTCCCTTAGTGATATGCACTTAAGTTTCCTCCATGTTTTTTTGTTGCCTGATAGATCATTTCTTCTTAGCACTGCATCACATTCCATTGGCTGGATGTCCCACAGTTTATTTATCAATACACCTGTGGACAAACATCTCGGTTGCTTCCAAGTTTTGACATTTACAAATAAAGTTGGTATAAACATCCGTATGCAGCTTTGTGTGTAGAGATAAATTTTCATCTCAGTTGTTGGATCATATGGTAAGGCTATAGTTAGGCAAAGCCCATGGCCGAGATGGGGTACAAATAGACGATGATAAGACTGAGCTACTCAGAATACATGAGTATCTCTAAGACTGAATAAAGACTTTTGTATTTGTATCCATTCAATGAGACAGAACTTCTTAATTGACTTTTAAAAATACAACTAAAATAATACTAAGATTGTAAGTAAATATTTTTTTAAAGGTCTTTGAAAATTTGGGGCTCTTGGTCCTCAGTTGGTTAAGCGTCTGCCTTCAGCTCAGGTCATGATCCCAGGGACCTGATATCGAGCCCCACATCAGGCTCTCTGCTCAGTTGGGAGTTGCTTCTCCCTCTCCCTCTCCCGGCCACTCTGCCTGCTTGTGCTCTCTCTCTCTCTCTGTCAAATAAATAAATAAATACATGCATCCATACATAAATGAAATCTTTAAAAAGTAAATAAATAAAGGACTTCAAAAATTTTCCTTCAATACCAAAATCAGTTGCTATAAAAGATGAATGATGAGAATAGTTCCCATTTAAATAATGAATCAAATAAAATTTTTAGGGTTTGAGAGGCTTCTATCTGTCTTATTAAAGCAAATTTCCTCAGATGAACTCATCTCAAGCGTATGCTGAAATTCTTTGCTTGTTAATGGAAAAACTAACAAGTGGATTATGGTGTGTACCAGTATTAAGTTAACTTCCACCAAGCCTACCTATCCTATTTGAGAAAAAATATTTATACAAAGAGCTATCTATCCTATATGAAAATATTTTTTACACAAAGAGCTAAACTTCTATGTGCAGATATCGCTTTACTTTACATAGCTATGAAAGGTCATAACCATGAGGTTGACATTTGAGAGTCATCTTAGAGTTTTCAAGAGCAAGTGATAAGTAAACTCAACTGTTACTATGATTAGACATAGCAAGAAAAAACCATGTTTGTCTCTAGGCAGTTGTTCCTAATTTCAGATTGTTACCTCTCTATATATTTCCTTATTTTTGTCCCAAAGATACCATGTCTTCCTGGATCTTACTGAATTATGAATTAGGTATTTATGTATAGTAAATATATGTTGTTGAGAGATATCTCTTCTGACTCTACAAAGTGGCTTTTTATTTTAAATTGTAGTATGTTTTCATAGGTCTTTTTAAAAAAAAGATCTATTTATTTTAGAGTGAGAGAGAGCACGAGATGGGGGAGGGGCAGAGGGAGAAGGGGAGAGAGAATCCTCAAGTAGACTCCCCACTAAGCCCAACACAGGGCTCGATCCCAGGACCCTGAGATCATGACCTGAGCCAAAATCAAGTTGGCCACTTAACCAACTGAGCCACCTGGGAGCCCCTGTTTTCATAGGTCTTTTTATGTGTTTCTCTGATTATACAGTTGACCTTTGAACAACATGAGTTTGAACTGCATGGGTTCACTTATATGTGGATTTCTTACAGTACAGAACTGCAAATGTATTTTCTCTTCCTTTTGATTTTCTTCTTTTTTTTAAGATTTTATTTATTCATTTGACAGAGAGAGAGTACACGCAGGGGGAGCAGCAGTGGGAGAGGGAGAAGCAGGCTCCCTGCTGAGCAGGGAGCCCAATGTGGAACTCTATCGCAGTACCCTCGGATTATGACCTGAGCTGAAGGCAGACGCTCAACCAACTGAGCCACGCAGGCACCCCTCCTTATGATTTTCTTAATAACATTTTATCTCTACTTTACTTTATGGTAAGAATATAGTATGTAGTACATATAACATACCAAATACGTGTTAATAAACTGTTTACGTTATCAGTAAGGCTCCTGGCCAACAGTAGGCTATTAGTAGTTAAGTTTTGGGGGAGTCATAAGTTATACAAGAATTTTTGACTATGCAGGCTGTTAGTGCCCCAACCATCACATTGTTCAAAGGTCCACTGTACTTTAGAAGCAGGTCTATGCTTTCCACTCACCTACCCCCTTTTTTTAAATTATGTTATGTTAGTCACTGTACAGTACATCATTATTTTTGATGTAGTGTCCCATG